CGCGGATTGTGCAACCATTACACCACAAAAGAATGCTGGAAGAAGAGGGAAAATACCAATTTCCTTTCCTATGAAGGAATGTTTCGTATGGATTGGCCAGCATGTTCCCTAGTTATGAACCCAATGGAATATGTTTGGGACATTCCAGGGAGAAGACTTGCTAGTCGCGTATCACCCCCGAGAAAGAATTCAGCAATTTGAAAGCTCTCTGTGAAAGCTCCCTCCTACAGGAGTGAAAGAGAACATCCCAGTCCCACATTACTATCCTCATTGATTCCATGCATCTTAGGTGTGTGACATTGCTTTTGGTCAGGAGAAATCATACCTCTTTTTGAAACTTATTTGTATCTGAGAAATCGCATTTTTTGTTTGTTTATATAATATGCGCAAATTGTGCATTTTTTGTTTACCAACAAATATTGTCAATAGAATTTAATTATTCCTTGCTCGTTTCTTATATCTTTCAACACCTATATATCATATATCAGTCAGTAAAACACTTGCTCATCGGCAGTTTACATCCAATATTATAATATCCTTTAATTTTTTGAACGGTGTATATTTGATATATGTACGTGTGTTTGTATGTTTATAAAAAATTGTCTGTATATTTATAAATTGAAAATGTATGTATGTTTTATGAAATTGAATCTTCTCTGGTTGTCCCCACCCCCATAAATAGCTGTGAATTCTTTGTCGACTTGTAAATTGGTGAAAAATATTCGTCTGGCTATTTTTTTTACTTAAAAGGCTACTTTTTTTTGCCTAAAAGTTACTGTTTTGCCCATAAATGGTAATAAAAAAGCATTTTGTTAGAAAAAATAGTTTAAGAGGAAGAAAGATCAGTGTGTTAGATATAAAAGCAATAGTCACTGAAATATCAGGTAAATACGAATATAAATCCATTTTTACTTCAACATGTGTAGTTTGTTCATGTTTAGGTTGGCTACTGACGCATGAGAAATGCTCCAAAACTGTAAAAATTCTAATACGCTGCTGTTGAAATAGATTTTCAGATAATCAAAAAGTGCGTATAATTTGTGTGTATTGTTTTTTACATGAAAAAATGTGCTACTCATGTATTATCCAGTCGACCATCAGAGATGGCTACCAGTGAAGAATGAAAGATGGCAGAGATCCACTAGATGTGACAGTAATTTATAAGGAATTCTGAAGTAACTGTTAACTCTTCATTTGATAAACAATCAGTATTCGATATGCTTCTCATTTTTATGCTTTGTTAAAGGGTTTTCATCGATTCTACTTTTTTGTTAGTCCTTCTGATTTAGTTTTGTTAGTCTTCTGTCTTTTGATTTGTATTTTACCAGAAGCTCTGTTTAGAGTACAATGTTATAAGCAGGTAATTGTTACAGGTAATTGTTATAACAGGTAATTGTTATAAGCAGGTAATTGTTACAGTCTCTTGCTGTTTTGTTGACCATATTCAGTTGATCTTATCGTGTAAATTAATGCACATTTATTTTATGGTAGGATCCTGTAACTTTGAAAATAATCCACTCCTTGCTGTTCTGTAGAAGGCAGGTCCCAAACTTTAATAACTTTTTGTTTAAAAATGTAAGAAAATACAGCAGTACCAATTAATTTATATCCTTGTTGATCAATTAATTTATATCCTTGTTGATAAAAACAAAAAGTGGCTTATAGAGAATCAGTCGAGCTTACGTCAAATGAAGGAAATATGTGTGTGTTGTTACATCACACTTATCCATAAATTGTGCTATATCACGCTACTTGTGATATCTTCACAATCTGTGGGATAATACGTAAGTACCAAAAATATTTTTATTTGTGCAATGTTTAAATGCATGACTTTACTTTCTACAAACAAACATGAATAGGCCACAGTGCACTAATATATTGTTATAAAATTGTCTTTAAGAGAAGCTGAAAAGTGTTGTGTAGAAGCATAACCATTTAACCTTATAGACTATTCACTAAAACGTTTCAAGTATTAAAAAAATAATAAAAAAATAGGAATCAGATTCGCATTGTCCGATTAAAAAGTGCGAAATAATGTGAAAGGCAGGAACACCGAGATGAAAGCAGTACTCGAGTATTCACTGAAAGTAAAATAACAAGCCCTTACATTCTGTCATAGTTAAATTCACAATGCAGATTAAACACAGGTTTCATCTCGGTTTCAAATGATTTCACGTTCTGATCAGAACATACGCTTTGAAACTTTACAGCTTTTGAGCTATTGAAAAGTTGATCCAAAATGATAATTTTCCCAATAGGATGTTTTGATTTTACAATTAATAGTAATAATAAAAAGCCTATAATTAGCTATGAAAATCTAAATTAATCTGTATTTAATACTTTTAGTTTTCGATGCAAAGAACTTTGCTGATTGAACCATTTAAAACTCATTGTAAAAGTAATTCGCTTTCCAACTTTTATGAAATTTATGATATTTGCTATTAGCTTTAAAACATTATTTTCTAGGATTATAATCTGAAGTGGGAGTACTATTTTGAAACTGAAAGAACTCGGCAAAATGAGCAAGGAAAGCGAATGAGGTGAGGATTAATGGAGGCCTTCTGCCAAGAGCTACTCTGCTCGGGTTTGAATCCGACCATTTGTGAAGAAAGGGGCCTTTAAAATCTACAGTTCCTAAAAATTTCTGGAAAGATTGTTTACAAGAAAAAAGCGATAATAAAAGCTTGAATTTCATTACTTGGAATTTTCTCAATCGACAGTGGAATGAAGCTAAGCAAACAGCTGCATCTAGCCTAGTCTAAATAACCGAACTCAATCTTTTCATCGCCAATACTAAAGAGATTCAGCGATGTATTTCATATACTATATTCAATTTTCAAAAATTTCTAGACAATCATTGTACATAACTTATTATTTATTTTTTTGTACTAGCAAAGCTTTACTACATTTTAGCAAAGCTTTACTACATACTATCTTTTCTGGTGTGTTTAGATTTGATTCAAACAAAATTTGCGTGCATTATCAAAAAATAATTATGTTTACTTCTTAGTTATTCGAAAGTTTCCATTGTTGTTTCGAGAATCGTATTTAGCGTTTCAGAATAATTTCCTTCGATATTCCAAAATAACCCAGGACGTTACTGATTACTGATAACAATGATAATCTTGGCAACAAAAAACAACACTACATCGAAACTGATCATCTGCCAACGAAGTAGGTCAGGTATTCCCAACTCGATCGTCCCTAAATCATTTCGTCAAAGATGGTGGATTTGGACGCTGAAACAATAGATTAGAAGAGTCGTGACAACGGATTAAAACAATGAAACTACTCCTCTTGATATTATCAGTCTGGGGTAGAAAAGGCACCACAAGATTAGGGCCTTCGTGCGGATTAGACGGCAGGGTTAGAGATTCTTTCATAGATGATTGCTATTGAAAAGTATTTTTATCTATGACCCTTGAGAAAATCATGAATGGTATTAATTATAGATAAAATTTTGTCTTCGTTTTTCCTTTCAATGAGATGAATTATAACAGTTCAGCAAACATTGTGCATGTTTTCCTTGAATGCAGAAAACTATGCCAAGAGAAAAAGGTATGACGATTTTCCTTCCTCAGATATACGAATTGATTTCAATGCAGAAGAAATATCCTTGCATCAGTAGTTAGAGTCTGTTGTTATATTAGTTTAAAAATATTGTCATGAAACTAAATTGGCAGTTAAAAGAGCAGCTTACAGTTAAAAAGGTTTAATTTTTTTTTAGTTCGTCATTTTTTAGTTTTATTTTTAAGAAATAACAAGAGGCCTTATAAAGTTGGAATCATAATAGTCATACAAAAAAATTTGGAATATTTTTCATTTTTAATTCAAAAAATAATGTTACAAGTTGGCTATGTGCCAACACTGAAGTGTGCAATGTTTCTGCAACATGAGTTCTATAAGATTCGGTAAATAAAATCGTTTTGAAAAATATTATATTGATCAATACTTTTTTCACGGCAATCTGCTCGTCACTTAATCTGTAATATCAGAAGCGTTTTTTCACGCTTCAGTAGCGTTTCGAGATCGAGAAAGCATGCGACGACTCCTGCTTTAGAGAAAAAGGCATTAGAAATATATTCCACTAGATTTATAAGTTGGTGAGTCGTACTATGACTTCCCGAAATCCAAATTGAGCTTTATCTATCAGATCAAGACGTTCTAGGTGTTCAGCTAATCTTTGATTTAGAGCTTGTTCGAAAACTTTACCGATTTCCGGAAAGATACTGTTACGAATTTGGTATTTAAAAAGCTAATGTTAGTTCAATTGTAAATTAAATAGTTTTATTTCTAGCGCATTGCAGCGCGTGACGAATATTAAAAGAAGAAAGCTAAGCCGGAAAATTAAAAATACAAGAGCACGTGCATTCAACATTAAATAAATAAATATATCTTTTTGACTTCGAGAAAGTACTGGAAAATTCTCGCGCGTGATTTTAAAATCTTATAAATAGGAGGAAAACCTCTCAGTTCGGAGTAGTTGCTTAGTTTGTTGTTGTTTAGAAAATTGCTCTTGTTGATTGTAGAGTATCCCGTTTACCTTCGATATCAGAAGAATTATGATGGAAAAAGAGTATACAATCAATTATCCAATGAAAGACATCTCGTCACAACACAAACAGTTTAATATTACGATTCTATTTACAAGTCTAATTAAGTGTTAGTTTTAGCTTTGACACGTCAAAGCAATACTCAGAACATAAATGGCATAAAATATTACTCATTAGTTTTTAAATACTCATGAAAAACATCTCAAAAAGTCATTATTCTCCTTACTTAAAAACGAAAGTAAACAATAGAACAAACTCGAAAACGTAGATGTAAAAACGCAACTGTTGCCAATCGCGATTTACTAAATTACATCAAAATAAAGATAATAATCAGGTAGAGGTTCAACTTCATATCCTCCCACGTAAGTTAATATTTTTGCCTCAAAAATTTAACTTACGAAAAATTGTGAATATTTTATAAGTTACAAAAGGAAAATTATAAGTAGTTCATAAGTCCAGTCTCTTAGGTACTTTGATTGTACGACCTGCTCTAGTCTTTTGAATCTGAGGTTCAAGTCCACACACGGTGCATTGATTGATGATAGATCTCACAGTTTCACGAGCATTCAGAATCCAAAATCTCTCTCGTAGAATATTTATTAAAATTTGAGTACCAGCATGTGCATTTTTCTCACGATAGTATCGCACTAGTCTCTTGACAACCTCATGATTGAATGGAAGAATAGCTGGCGTTTTAAAGTCTTCTGTATCCTCACGAAAGGTAAATTTAGTGTTTAGTCTGAGGATTCCACTTTGATCCTTGAATACTCCTAAAGTTCTTAATTTCTCATCCTTTTCATTCACAAAACAATCTTCTTGAACCATTTTAATCAATAACTTCTCAGCCTCAAAAATTTCATCAGAATCAAGGTTTCCATGCTTTCTCACTGTTTTTTCAGTTCGACAATTGGAGGTGAATCTTAGGATCCAGGTAATTAGATTAACTATCCTTTTGTATTGGGAAAAATATCTGTAATACCAGTCTCTCTTGGTAACCAAGCATGCAGAAACTAAACATTTAGTTACAGAAGAAACTATACTCTTTTTCTTTTCTCTAACAATCTCAGTCTCATCTAAATTTAAGTCACTTTTAGGCCAATCTTCTTCAGGCAAGTAAAGCCAACTTGGACCTAACCACCACTGAGATTTCAATAAGGAGAGAGCTGAACAACCTCTACTCGGAAGATCAGCTGGATTCATGCAACCAGGAATATGTCTCCAAGAATCTTTATTTGTTAGTCTTCTTATTTCCTTCACCCTATTCTGAACAAATACACTCCAGGCTTCTTCTCGTTATCCATGCTAAAAACAGTAGAAGAATCAGTCCAGAATTAAACTTCTTCACTCTGTATCTCAGACAAAATTGAGGACGAAAGGCGAGACGCTATAGTAGCTGCAAGTAATTCCAATCTCGCGATAGTAGTTTCTTCTTTTCCAGTTGGTGTAACTCTACTCCTGGCTTGTATCAGTTGTACTTTAGTAGAACCAAAAGTTTTTATACGAATGAAAGCAGCCACGGCATGAGCATGCTTACTGGCATCACAGAAAATATGTACTGAAGTATTTTCACTCATACTCCTTGAACCAAAATATCTTGGAAAATGGATCTTTTCCAGATAGTCAATATCTTTCAACCATTTTAAAAATGTAGTTCTCGTACAGGTATCAACTTCTTCATCCCATGTTATCTTCTGCTTCCAAGTTTCTTGAAGTAATAACTTAGGGATAAGGATAACAGGACAACATATACCAAGAGGATCAAACAATCTATGAGCTATAGATAAAATTAAGCGCTTAGTCACTTTTTCAAAACATGACTCTTTTATACTACCAGTATTTACTCTTAAAGTGTCAGATTTTTTATTCCATATTAAACCGAGCACATTTGTATCAGCAGAAGCATCAGCATTAATATCATTGAACTCCCACCCTCTAAGGTCAAATTTTCTCTCAGCCATTACCTCAGTTGATACACTAATAAAATGATTGAGTTCTTCTTCATTTTTAACACAACTGACACAATTGTCAACATAAAAACTATGCATAAGTTTTTGAATGACACCTTTCGTATATAAGGATTCACCGGTTTCTATTTTCTCTAAAACAGTTTGTAGGTGAAGCTGAATAGTAGAGTTTAGAAGAAAAGGGCTACTTGCTACACCAAAAACTACACGGCAAACTACACTTTCAGTTGACCATCACTACCAAGCCATAAGAACCGCAAAAAGTCTCTATCAGTAGGTGAAACACTTATTTGAAGAAAGGCTCTTCGTATATCAGCAATAACACCAATCTTTTCTTTTCGAAAGCGTGTTAAAATACTCGGAAGCTGTTCTATTAGATTTGTGTCTTTTTCTAAGCAGTCATTAAGACTAGGAAATCCCTTTACTTTGGCCGAAGCATCAAATACCGGTCGGAGTTTTGTAGTGCTATTCTCTTTGATAACTTCTCGATGAGGAAGGTAAAGAACTTGCCGTTGATAATTTTTATCAGCCTCTTCAATTACTCCCTCTTCTAGCCATTCCTTGAAAACATCTCCATAAGCTTCATAATTGGACTCGATTTTAAGACGTTTAACAGTTTTGTTCAGTCTTCTCTCGGCTAAGTGAAAATAGTCTGTTAGTGGTGGATGATATTCCAACCAGGGCAAATCAACCTCGAAACGATCATCGACTATACGAACTGTATTTAGAAAATGTAACCGAGCAGCTTCTTGTAGTTAAGTCTGGTTTTTCTTGACTGATGGGTCAGTGATCCCAAGTGTGTCCAAAGTCCATAGATCTGTTATGGTCTCCACAGTAGATAACAAGGATGTAACTAAGAACGGTGATGAAAACTCACTTTTCGAAGTATTCGGCATTCGTCCCATAACTGACCATCTAAATTTGGTCTCAATAGCTACGAGACCACAAGGTAACTCACGACGACCACCTGTCATGAGTTTTTCAGCTACATCAGCCCCAATAAGAATCTCAATAGGATTTTGACAATCATCCACAATATTTATATTACAGGCTGCTAACTCTTTCAGACAAAGCTTGTTGACAGTAGGTGGCACTGACTTACAAATAATTTGTTGACTAAGAACTTTAAAGTTGCAATTATAATTCCCATGCACACTCGATAAATATAAAGTGTATACATCATGCTTGCATATCCCTGAGTCCTTCCCTCCAAATAAAGAGTGTTGTACACAACTCTGAGGTTCATAGTTCATTTCTTTAGCTGTACTTCTTAATAAATATGATCGCTGTGAAGCAGTATCGATAATAGCTCTTGTGACGTGTTTTTTTCCCATTACTTCTAATTATAACTTTGAATGTTTAAAGCATTACGTCTGGAGAAGAAGAAAAATTTGAAAGAGCTTGATCCACTTCAGCACTAATCTCAGTTTTCTTTTCAACTTCAGGTGATTCTTCGTTTTTTGACATAGTTATTTGGTGCATCTTTCTACACAGAAAAATATGGTGTTTTTTACCACAACACAAGCAACCAACTTTCAAGTTACAATCCTTGACTGAATGTCCAGATTTCAAACATAAAAAACACTTGTGAGATTGTTGAACCAGTGACTCCCTCTGCCTTAAAGGTATTTTTCTTACCTTTAGACAGTCTCCAGAAAAATGTGAATTAGAACAGAATATGTACTGTTTTGATACTTGAGATGAAGTTAGAAGGTCTGTTGCACTAGGTATATTTGAAAACTTTCTACTTTTACATTCGTTCTCTATTACCTTTTTCTCATAGGAAAGATTATGTTTTACTTCTGCTTTTGGTTTCGATGTGTTGAAACTTTGAGAGGCTAAAAAAATGTGTTCTTCAGCTTCAACTTCGGCTTGTAAAAATTCTAAAATGTATTCTAAATCACTTTTCTCAATTGTAGTTTTACTTTCGTCTGAATCATCTAAATTCACTTCTCGAATTCTACGATGAGCAGATCTATAGCGCTGCCAAGCAACAAGAGTTTCTTCGGCTAATGATGATTCAACTAGTGGAAAAAGCATTGCAGCATATTTTTCCCTAGTAACACCTAATAATTCAAGTGATTGCAGTTTACTCTCAAGTTGATCGAACAATTTTCTTAATGAATTTTTAGAAGTGTTCTGTTTTTGAAGAACTAATACTAATAAGTCTCTGACATATACCTGAATCAATAGTTCCTCTCTGCCGAAACGCATTTTCAGCTGTTTTAAGGCTTTTTCGTAACTATTACCCCCTGGGGGATAGCTCTTAATTAATTCTTCAGCAGGACTGCCTTTTTCCATTGCTTGAGATAAATACGAAAATTTATCGTGAAAATCGATATTAATGTCCTCATCAATTTTTTGAAACTGACCCCAAAAGTATAGCCAATTTCTTACACTACCGTCAAAAGTAAGTAATTTTATTTTTGGGTAACGTAATAAAGTGTTCGACTGCGAAACAATGTTCAAATTTTCGGAACAGCTTTAGTATAGCCCACCTTCAAAGTTTGGCGAATTTGGTTTGGCGCCAAGGCACATGAAATACGTTGTTTTGAAAAATGGTTGCCATCCAGATTTTCGACGAAACTCCGTGTTTAAAAAAATGGTAGCCATCTTGATTTCACCAGAAATCGTGGATAATAGAAATAAGTTTATGACTGTTATACACGGTTTTAAGAGAAAGAAATATTAAGCAATGATTAATAAAAATGATTAAGGTTAAAAGGATGTAATTTTAAAAACAATACCGGAAACCTTTAGCTATTTCACCTTTTAATAAATAATTTGGTGTGACGTCACAATGTATTCTCCATGCTACGCGTAATTTGTATTTTCTCTTTAAAAAAAAAATGAATTGTTTATTATTGTAAATTAACATCAAATTCTTTAAATTTACATTTCTGAGCTTAGGCGTAACTGAAAATAAGTATAATAAATTGTTTATATTTAAAATTATCATGATACAGTAAGCGAATTCTACCAGTTATTACAACGATAAAGAACGTCGCAGTCTCTCATACTTGTATTTCATACAGCTTCCATATTTTCAAAGATTTTTAAGCTTTAGCATTTTTATACAAATAAAAAAAAGTTTTTTTAATTAATACTCTGGAACATATCAATTTTATCATATTTACAAATTAACGTTTTGCTACGTAACAACATAATCCCTTATATACCAATAAGTAGACAATTTTAATTATTTTCTAAAAATTTTAAACTTCACATCAATGAAAAACAGGTTCTTAAATTTCTAAATCACATTATATTCTCTGTAGGCAGGCATACTAGAATTCTACACATAAATAAATAAAAATTTAATTTCTCGCAATGAAAGAAAATATTATAAGAAAATAAATACTACAAATTAGGAACACTAAGCAATGTTTCACATACACACACACATACAGTGTCTCACAAAAGTGATGGGACACTTGTGCTTTACAAAAGGAAACTGTAGTAAAATAAATTAAAAAAACATGTAAAAATTTTTTGTGGGTATGTTTTATACTTAAATTTAGTAACAATTACTACATAACATACATTTTCTCAAAATATTAAAATATCAATTTAATAAAAATACAATTGTTTAGAACGAAGCAAAAAATGGCTCACATAAGTGATGGGACACTTACTTTTCCATCAAATATTTATCCAAAAATTTTACTTTATAAAAGGTTTTAATATTTTGTTGGATTTCCTTTTACTTTTAAAACATGATTTAATCTTCTTGGGATGGATTCGACTAATTTTTTTGCGATTTCTGGAGTGATTTACCCCATTCTTCTTGAAGCACCGATTTTAATAAATTGTCTATCCTGGGTTTTCTCCACACCAAGATTTTACCGTCAGAATCAAATATATTAAATTTACTCTCATCAGCAAATATAACTTCATTCCAGTAATCAGAATTCTTATTTATGTTGGATTTTGCGAAAGCCAGTCTGAGGTTTTTTTCTTTTCACTCATGAAGAATTTTTTCCTAGCTGCTCTACCGTGATATCCAGCAAATCGAATTACTCTTCCAATAGTCTCAGGATTAACAATTACTCCATATAATGCTTGTAAATCAGCAGCAACTTTGGGAGCACTCATTCTTGGATTTTTTTTAATATTTCGAACGATAATTCGCTTTAGTCCATTGGATAGCTTTGATGGTCGGCCAGATCTTCTTTATCCTGAATCATATGATTCTTTTTATATCGTTTAATGATATTAAAAACTGTTGAATGACTC